AAAAATTAATTAATTAAAAATGGAATTCATTAAAACCACATTCGAGCAGTATTGAGAATAATAACTCCATAAGAATAAATAAATAACAAAGACAAATAAATAACATGAACGAAATAAAAATGAGAATCCAATCAAAGGTAGCAGTCTCCGGATCTCTCATTCGACCCTTGAACTTCTCGAGCTAGGCCTTCCGTCTTACCTAGTCGAATTCTAGATCTGCAGAAAAGAAAATGAAGATCAAATGAAATGAAAATAAATTGCAAAAAGAAAGAAATGGAACTAGAAATGCAAGAACAGAAATTAAAACTAAAACTAAAGAGACTGGTTGGGATCTGATTCCAGAGGTGGCAGTAGTGGTGTTGGCGAACTGCAAGTAGGAACCCCTCCTCTTGCTTGGGCGTCCTCCTCTTCCTCTACCCTTAAACTTCTCAAGATCAGCCTTCCTTCTTACTTGGGCGAATTGACCAACTCTTTCTCCAGGGCCCCTGGGGTCCTTTTTATAGAGAATGGTGGATATAATTGGGAATAGAGAGAAAGAGGGGGTGACAGCTGGGTTTTAGCAAAAATATGGGTGCCCTAGGGTTTAGAATGAAGGGTTAGGATGGTTCTAAGGTGATCCTAAGGCTGAGAAGAAAAGGAGAAGGAACCCAATATTATGTAAGGTTGAGATTTAATGGCTAAAGGTCGAATGGTGAAGATTAGAAGTTAGGTGGCTCATAGGGTTAGAATGCTGAAAAGAGAGTGCCCTAGAATGGATGGTGGAGATTAGAAGGGATGGAAGGTGAGGATTTATTAATTAGGGGTGGCTGGGGTTTGTTAAGAGTGAAAATAATGGATTAAAAGGCGCCCTAGGGTTTGCTAAAACGTGGGGAGCATGTTAATACTGTAGGAGGGGTGCCAAACTGGGTTTAGCAGCTAGGAGGCGCCCTCCTGCTTTCAGTTTTTCACAAAAACATCCCTCTTTCAGTTGGACTTTACACCAACTTTCCAAAATCTGCATTTCAGCTATGTAACTTCCCTAGTTTTCCACAAAATTTGCATAGAGACACTCAGAGATCACAACGTTGAATTTAACTGGGAAAAAGGCATACTTTGACTATTCTAAGGCCGAAAATACCCTTGAAATGATGCCCTTAAGGTTTCAAAATGCAGAGTTATCACTTCCTATCAAAGTTAGACTATTTAATAGAGTGATTAATTGTGACCCAAATTGTCTCATCTATGGGTTTCCAAAAACCACTGACCACATCCTTTTGACTTGCTAACTATCCAATCAGGTGGTCCCTTCTTCTTGACCAAATCCCTCTTTGAAATATTAGATAAATCAAAATAAAATTAGTTCACTCACCTATTGCCTTGAAAAAGCTTGTTTACAATATGGTATTTATGGAAAAATAGAAACAAAAAGGTTTTTAATAACAAACTCTAAAGCCTCCTAGAAGTTGTATCGAAAGCTTTCATAAGCTTCAAAGACTATAAGGAGCAAGAGAAGCTAGTACCTAAAATAGAAAGAAAAAAGAGTCATATGAGTTAAATGAAACCCTCCTAATCCCAATGAGATAAAATTCAACTTTGATGCATCAAGAGCCTAAGTAGGGATGACAATTTTCCCCATTTCCCTGATCCCCACGGGTCGACCCACCCTAAATGGGGCAAGGATGGGGAATTTTTCATCCCTATTGGTGGGAATGGGGCAGGGGCAAAAAGAGCACTCCCTGCCATGTAGGGCCTCTAATCCCCATCTTGTGGGGATTCTCGCTTATATATGTATTTATGCATGTATATTAATATTTTTAAAAATATGGTTGAATATATTTGAATATATTTGGATATTTTTTAATAAGATTTTAAATTTTAACTATTTCATTTTTAACTTTAAATGAAATAAAAAAAAACAAAAACAAAAACAAAATGGTTGACATCATAAAAAAGAATGGGGAGTGGGGATCCTTGTGGAGATAAGGATGGGAATAAACCTTGTCCCTACTGGTGTGCACAAGGACAAGGATGGGGATTGGGATTTTCGCAAGGGTAGGGATGGGGAGTGGCTCCATGTCGTTGCCCTACCCCATTGTCATTCCTAAACTCGAGAGGATAGGTGTGCATTTGGTTGCATTTCTAGAAACCATAAGGGGGAAATCTATATCAATATGTTAAAACTGGTCATACCATGTCAATAGGCCTCTCCTTACTTCCTCACCCTTTATCTATTTTATGGTTTTCTTGATTTTTTTTTATTTTCAGAAAAGAAAATTCAAGTAGTCAATCATCTTTAAGATTTTCATCACTCTTCATTAACTCACCATCAGCTCTCTCTTCTCATTCTCATTAACTCCTTTAGATTATTTGTCTTGCTTAAAATTCATTGACTACTTTGGTTCCTTTTTTTTTTGAATTTTTCTTATTTTTTTTCTTTGGAAAGTGAATAATAAACCAAACACACTTTGCTTAGGGTTCATTTGGTAGATCTAGGTTATGTGAAAGTCACTTTTGAAGGAAATATTATTTAGGCCTTGTTTATTTGGCGGATTTGGGTAAATGCATTTACCCAAGTAAGTGTTTCCCAAGAAAATGTTATTCGAGAAAGTACATATACTCATGTTCGTTTACCAGATGGATAAGTGAGAAAATTTCCTAAAGGATCCCTATTTTTTTTGTTTTAGCATGGACATTTTAGTTCTACATAGTTTGACCAATTTCCGCCCTCCATGAGTAAACAACTTACCCACCTCCTAGGTGGGCAAAACTTTCTCATGTAAGTTATAAAATACTTACCTAGGGAAAAGTTTTATTTCCATAGAACCCACACTTCACTAGTAAAAGAACATAGGTATGTTGTCAACTTTTCCATTGACAAACTCCCCCCCTAGTTGTCCTAAAATGAATAGGTCCTTGGACATTTCATGCTCATGAGTCATTTTGTCCTATGTGATGCACCTAGTAACACCAATGTATAATAAACAACAATGAACAATTGTTACGTTGCGTCCAATTTCTTTATTTTTCCCAATTTCGAATGCTTGCATCAAGTACTATGCAACAGCATGATACCAAGCATTTTATCTGTTTAAGCGTGTACTATGTTTTACTTTTTTTTAGGGTAAATTACATATAGGTACCTTGTACTTTGGGGTAATGACACTTAAGGACTTGAACTTTCAAGTGCAACAATTTAATATCTTGAACTTTTAGAAACATACACTTGAGCCCAATTCTATTAAAAATAACATTATAGTGAGGATAAAATTACAAAAATGCCATATTTAGATTTTCTTTTTTTTTCACTGTTTTTTGTTGTTCCATTCAAATGTGTTTATTCTTTGTTAAAAGAAGTATAGAGATGGTTTCATATGGCAAAAAAGAGTAAAATAAAAGTTCATGAGTGATCAAAAGAGAATCTAAACATGAGCATTTTTAGGAATGACAACAGGGTGGGTTCGGGGCAAGGATCATATTCCCCGTTTGCAACATTGATTTTGGAATAAATCCCCATCCCCGATACCAATCCCCCTCAGGGATAAAAGTTATCTTCTATCCCCAATCTCCGATGGGGATGGGTTCCTCATGGGGATCCAAATCCTCGGAATTTTTTAATTAATAGTATTTTTTTAAAAAATAAATTTACTTAAAATAAATTAAAATTTTAAAATATAAATACTATTTTAAATATACTTTGATATATATAAATAGTATCATGTATATATAATAATATATTTAATATATATCAGGGTCAAGGAGGGGCAGGGACCTTATTCTCCATCCCTATAAATCCCCATCCCTGATTTGATGGGGTCGGGGAAGTTGGGAAAATTGCCATTCCTATGCATTTTTATAATTTTATCCTCATTGTAACTTTAGTTTAACGAAGTTAGACTTAATTGTATATTTCTGAAACTTAAAAATGTCCCACTTGAAGGTTTGAGCTCTTATGTGCCACTACCTCAGTACAGGAACCCCATTTTTTATTCCCTCCAAGTCAATACGTACAATGTCAAAGTTTTGGTGGCGGAGACTTGGTGAGAAACCAGGTTAAGTGGGTTAATCTTTTGCAAAACAGGCATAGAGATCTCTCAAAAATCCACAATCCTCTTGGGCATCAACCATTAAAGCAAAATACTTCCCAAATACTATTTTCTTTAATCCCAAGCTTGTGCTTTCTCTAGGGGATGGGAGAAGCCTTTGAAATGGTGATACGTTTGGTCTTTACCCATGGATTCCAACCCTTCTCATGCTGAAGATACTTATTGCAAAGCCTCCTACGTGCCAATCTATTAAAGTCTAAGGATTTGTTAATTCCAAAGTTCAAGATCTTGTATATGCACCTTCTAAACGAGAACTTATGGAAGAGAAATATTAGGATTCCCTCCATGAATCTCATCAAGAGGATATAGATTGGTGTGGTGTGTCAAGGAGAACTTATGGAAGAGAAAGAATGTGACATCTGTGTAGCATTGAAATGAAACCTACTCATGCTCTGTGAGTCTGTGATAATGGCAAGGAGCCTTTTGTTTGGATCTCTTGGGAGCAGTTAGTGGAGCTAGAGCAGGTGCTCAGGTCGGAGCTTGCTGGCCATCACACAAGGATTAACATCAATAGCCATCAACATCAAGCCCCGGCTCCGTGCAAGTTTTGTCAGGATCAGGATCAATGTGGAGGTATTTCTTGTCTCTGAAGATTCTAATGGTTACACCAAGATTCTAACATCAATGTCACCAAGTCAACATTGAAGTGTATTTTACACAAATTTTGTTGATATTTCGATGGAATCAGATTTGAATTGGGATATTATCAGTGTAAAAGGCCAGCCCAGTGCACAAGGCTGTTTTCAAGAATTGAATTGGGATACCACAGTGAATGAATTGGAATTCAGATCTGTATTTTACATACCCATCTGATATCGATCACTCGTATTCTTATCATCAGATCAGGATTTGGACAACCCCTCTTCCAATTGCAGGGATCAACACAGAAGATAGATAGATAGAGAGAGAGAGCAAAGGGAAAATTTAAATTTTTTTTGCAGTTTCTATTGGGGAAAAAAACAAAGCCAGCCTTAATGACTTTCCAAGTGTTCATACATATAGTACTTTCATATACTTGCAACATCCACAAATCCCTTTCTGCTGGGATTGAGATTCAAATTGGTGTTCAAATTTTTTGGCACTGTTATTAGCAACAAAAGAAAGAGAAAATGATAAATGGAAATAACACAAGTCAGCAGTTTTATTTATGTACATAAAAGTTGGAGCACAAGCAGTGTTCTCCCACCCTAGCGCTGGCTCTTCAACCATAATCTTCCTTTCTTCAGCAGGGCCAGAGTTTCATGGTGTTCTTCGTAATACAAGCTTTTTCAGCAATCACACACCTTCCATTGACTGATAGAAATTTTGAAGAAGTAGTCCTTGACGGGGTTGTGGCTTGTGGGTGGCACAACACAATTACACGCCCAAGATCCATTCTTCGTCTACAGCAGATCAGCATCAGTTCCTAATCCCAAACAGTAAGAAGAAGTCTGAGCAGCTTTGAAAGAAAAGCTGTATTTCTGAACTGAACTAATTTCAAATAGGTAATAGGTAAATCACCTTAGTCACTGCCATACCATAGATAGATCGATCCAACAGATCTCCAGCGACCCAATACCGCATTGAATTGAATTGACGCCGAGATAGCAAGAAACCGACCATCAACCGCAGAGGATAAATTTGCAAACCGGGAACACCAACCCAGTAAAACAAACAAGACAGATAGTAACAACATTCTGTGAACACCAAGCATACGGCCTCCACTTAATTTCAACACTGGAGCTTTTCATCCTCTTTGCTTTGTGCGGCTCTTTGGACAAATCGAAGCTAGCCCCTTTCATCCTTAGTTCCTGAATACACCTCGTAAGCGCTCGGTTGTCGCTCTTCTCCCTCTGCAACTGCCTCCAAACCTTCCAGTACCTGAAAAGCTTCACCTGAACCAAACATATCATAACAAGTGAAGTAAAAAGAGACAAGGAAGAGGGAAGCCACCATTGCCTACAAGTGTGGTGTTGGGTATTAATGGCAGAGGTGTAGAGAATGGTTAAGAAGAGCCCATGAAAGGCGAGAAAGAAACAACACAATTGGAATATTTCGCGCTTGATGTTATCTAGTCGGATTTCTTTCCTGGCGATTCGCTTCCCGAAGAGGTCTTCCTCTCTTTGCCAGAGCTTGAGAAGCAACAAATGGCCGGGACTCCGGGAGATTTCCATTAATGGGTGGTGCTGCATTGCAGAGATGGTGGTTATTGCAGAGAGGCTTTTCTGCTGATGCTCCTCGTCGACGGGAATTTCGATTACATGGGTATCTTTAGATTCTGCCATTACGAATTACTGAGAGAAAGAAAAAAATGTAAAGCAGATAAAAAAAAAAAAATCGTGAGTGAGTGAGTGAAAGTGTGCAAACTAAACTGTGCAGTGCTTTTGTGAATCTCTTGAGCAGAGAAATCGCTTGTTCTAGTGAGAAAGAGAGCTTGAATGCCAGTAGAATGTGAGATTGCTGTGATTGTTGGGCGAAGTGGAGGACGGCGAGAGAGATATTTGAATTGTTGGTAACGCCTGGGAGTCACAACGGTCATGTTTCTATTTTGTTGACGGAGTCGTCGCAGATACCCCTCCAACGGTCAAATTTGCGTTTCGTTGACCCAAGTATGAAACGCTTCTTCTGGGGTAATGCAACGGTCCACAAATGGAAGGGAAGGGATAATGCAACGGTCGCAGATAGCCAGATACCCTCCAACGCTTATGAAGGCCATAATGAATAAGCAACTCCCGGCCCCACATGTAAGGGAAACATTTTTGCCATCAGATTGGAATATGTTTAAAACCAGACTCAACCTACGGAGAACCATCATTCAATTAGGCCTATCGATCATAATTGAATCGGATTCCAATTTTATAATATGTATCTCAATTAATAGTTGGGATGGGATTTGGATTTGACTGCATCCAATTAAAATTCAAATCTAGTATTTATTGGTTTTATTATATAAAATTTATATAATCATATTTAAAATTATATAATATACATATATATTTAATAGTTATATGCACATTAATTTATTATATATAAAGTTAAAAAGTAATTAACTATTTAATATATATATATATATATTTTTTAATTTTAAACAATTAAAGTGTAGTCGATTAAATCCAAATCCAATAAAGTCCATTCGATTCGAATGCGTATCTAACGCCATCAAATCTTTAATCAGATTCAGATACAAATTTTCAATAATCTGCTTCGCCATAGAGCGTGCCCCACAACACCCCACAACCCATCCCCTCTGTGCACCGAGAACATCTACCATGCTTGTCATGGGGAGATATTCCCAACGCACGGAGGGGATGGGCTGTGGGGTGCGCTCGTGGAACACGCTATGTGGGTAGGTGATCTCGTCTCTATTTAATATACAATGCCACACCAAATGTTTTTTATTGTGGGTATATGGTGTGTTCCAAGACATTAAAGTTTAAAATACATAAATTATTATTAAAATATTTCAATATATAAATTGTTATTAAAATATTTCAAACAATTGTTTAATGAATGTAACTTTTGGAATACAAGACTCAGCTCGGCTAGCTTTTGAGCTTTTTCGGGACCCAAAACATCCATCCATCTTGATTTTGAAATTTGAACAACCATGGATGTATAGGAGCTTTTTCACCATTGAGGATTGGTGTCCAATGGATGTACAAGGTCTATGAAACAGTAATAGACGGTGGGATATGGGTTTAAGATATTTCAATCGAATGTGAAAAAGGGCTCCCAGGGATGAGAGTCACCTGTTTAATTAAATCGCCTTCTCTGCCTGTTACAAAGGTTCTAGTATCACAAAGATATACATCTTTTGAAGTTGGGTGCTTCATGGATAGGGTGGTGTTTGGTTTCATTGCCTTTTTCTGAGAAACACAACATTACATTAGAGCCACATCAGCAATCAATTTCATCGCTTGAATCTGCTATTTGATTAGAGAAAGAATGGCAAAAAAATGCATTGCATCGATTCATCACTCTTATTCCGAAATCGGATAATCATGAAGAGGTTAATAACTTTAGACCCATTAGTCTTTGTAATGTCATCTCAAAAGTCCTTGTAAAAAGGATTAAGACTTTTTTTTGGATAATATCATCTCTTCCTATCGGAGTGATTTTGTTCCAAATGGGCATGTTTCGGACAATATTCTCATTGCTTGTGAGATGATTCATACTATGAAAAAGAAAAAAGGTAAAACAAGAATCATGTCTTGCAAAATTGATATGAAGAAGGCTTATAATAGGTTGGAATGAGACTTTATTGAAAAAGTCTTAAACAAGTTTGGTTTTTCATAATAAATAGATAAATTGGGTTATGGAATGCATAAAATTTGCTTCCTTTTAGATTCTTATTAATGGTTCTCCCTCTAATGATGCAAAAGCAAGCAGGGTAATCAGGCAAAGGGACCCTCTATACCCCTACATCTTTGTGCTGAAGCCATCACTAGTATTTTGGAGAAAGAAGCCACCAATGGGGATAAGCTTGTTGGTTGTAAGGCATCAAGAGACGACCCCACCATCCCTATTATGTAGTTTGCTAATGATTATATTTGCAAAAACTACTATTAATGCTTGTCTTAGGGTGAAAAATATCCTTGATAGTTTCGCTTTGGCTTCTGCTCAGCTTCCAGAGTACTCAAAATCTTTTTATTTATTTTTCCAAGAATATTCCTGGTAAGCTCCAAAAGATTATGGCCAAAATTCTTAAAATTCCTCTGGAGAAAATATATAAAAGTTATTTGGGTGCTCCTGTTATTAATGGGAGAGTTTCGAAAGAGGTATTTAAATCTCTTAGCGAGAAAATGGCTAATAAACTTGCTAGTTGGAAGAGAAATACTCTTTCTCTTGTTGGCAAGACTCAGATCAATTCTGCTACCTCCACGATCCCCCAATTTATAATGCAATCTTTCAAAATTCCAAATAATGTCATTAGTGAGTTGAAAAAAGTCCAAAGGGATTTTATTTGGTCTAATTCTAGAAGTCAAAATCCTATTTATCTTGTTAACTAGAAGAGAATGTACACAACCAAGAAAATAGGGGGTTTAGGATTAAAAAACCTGAAATGGGTTAACAAGGCCCATATTGCTGAACTAGGGTGGAAGATTATTACAAACAAGGAGAATTTATGGGTTAAGGTGGTCAAATCCAAGTATTTAAATAATTTACACTTTATGGAAGTGGAGCCTAAGAATGGTATCTCTTGGGCTTGGATACTTGGGTTCTTGCCTCTAGAGATTTTCTCATGAGAAGGAAACTGTGTCAATTTCTAGAGGGATACTTGGGTTGATAATTCCCTTTTCCTTGAGATTGTTAATTCAGAGGTTGTATCAAATTTGGATTTTTGTGTAACCAATATTATTGACCATGATAGAAAGATTTGGGAGGACCTTATTTGGACTCTTGTTCCTGATAGGGTTTGGCCTTGCATCAAACCAATCTAGGTTCCCTCTAATTTATCTAAGGATAGAATAGTTTGGAGGCTCACATTGGATGGCAATTTTTTTTTTTTAAATTGGTCTATTGTAGCTAGAATAGTGAAAGTGGTTTTTTTTTTTTTTTGCTAGTTGTCAAATGTCTTTCTAGAATCTTAAAATTTCTCCAAAAATTAAAGTATTCATATTCCCTCTTGTTCAATAACAGGCTCCCAACTTAAAGTAAGTTCATTTCTAGAGGCATAAATTTGAATCCGAAATGTGAATTCTATAATGAAAATGAAACTTCTAATCACTTGTTTATTTTGTGCCCTTATACTAAACAAATTTGGTTGAGGGTGGGTTCCTTGTTGCTGACCCCAAGTTCTAATGATAATTTGATCAATGACTGGTGGTCCAGTGATTTGAGAAACCAAAGTACTATTAGTGAGCAATTTGATAAAGAAAAGTTGGCAATGATGCTTTAGTTTATTTGGAAAAATAGAAATGACAAGTGCTTTAACAATAAATTTGTTCATCCCCAAATTATCATTGATAGGACTCTTGCTTATTGGGGAGAAATCAAATCTTGTTTTTCTTCTAATCCCAATGAGACTTCTAAAGAGTGGAATTTTATAGGACGGCACCTAAGACCATCAAGGTCAACTTTGACGCATACTATAGGTTTGATTGTTGGTGTTCTATTGGGTGCATTGCTAGGGACCATATGGGTTTTATTTTGGACCTCAAAGCCTATTATTGTATTGGGGTATCTTCAATTAACCAGGCCGAGGCCTATGACACTTGGGAGGCCATCAATATTGCTCTAAATTTTAAGGGCTCTCCTATCATTATTGAAAGAGACTTGAAGCTCGTGATTGACTGCCTCAAGAAGAGAATAAAGTCCCCGTGGAGATTGTAAAGTATCACCAGTGAATGTCTCTACCTCAAGACCGTATTCAATTCAAGCACACTTATCGTGAGGCAAACCAAGCGGTTGATTGGCTAGCACGCAACACCCCTTACTATTGTCCTAGTTTAGGTTCAATCCCAAAAGATATCATACAGATATGTTTTTTTTGATTACTGGGGAAGGGCTACCCCTTGTGTAGCTCCTCACTTTTTTTCTTTCAAAAAAAAAAAAAAAAAATCGGCACCACTTCAAGTTCAGGAAATGCAATTTTGACGTTTCTGTTTCTTGCATGAGGTGACTATTGCAAGAAATGGTTGAGTGTTGCTACATCAGCTTAGGTGACAGCAACACTACCAAACAAACATTACCTTTTTCTGAGAAAACACCAGACCATTGCATTGGGGAACCAAACACCACCTAAGTCATTCACCCATCAATGATCAATCCAATCTCCAATGGCTTATCCCTCTTTATTCTGTTGCCTGCATGCTCAGTGTCAATTTACTTGATTAAAAAAAGAAGCATCTTCTCCTTACAAATTACAATAATATGATCAGATTAGATCATCTTACCCATTGTTTTTCAAATTGTAAGAATTTTACGCCAATTTCCGTTGCTATGACTCTTCCCTAACCCTGAACGCCAATGAAACACCTATACATTCTGATGCTTCCTCAAGTAAAACTAAAATACAGGAATTCCATCCCAAAATAATGGGAAGGAAACTTGATATAGGGTACATATACATCAATTTCATCATTGATCTTTCAATAAACAAATGAGGAAAAGAATATGACGTGACTTCAAGAGATCAGCAGGACATTGGGCTGCAGATTTCATTTCAAAGCTAGAATGTATGTTGGGAGCTAAATAATAAATTCTATGTTGTATTCCTGCAGCCAAATGCAAAAAGCAAATCAGGGTACATATACATCAATTTCATCATTGATCTTTCAATAAACAAATGAGGAAAAGAATATGACGTGACTTCAAGAGATCAGCAGGACATTGGGCTGCAGATTTCATTTCAAAGCTTGAATGTATGTTGGGAGCTAAATAATAAATTCTATGTTGTATTCCTGCAGCCAAATGCAAAAAGCAAATCATCCACCAAGCCCAAGAGAAAATGGCAATGAAAGTTTACAAAAGAAAGAACAGAGATGGAAATCCAACGTTCAAGATTCAAACCAATTATCAGAGAGAACGGCAGAATGTTTGCTTAAACTACTCACTTGGGTCTTAGGTGTTTACTGGTCAAGACCAAAAGGAGCATCCAGTAAAGGGAAAGCAACAATCTGAAAAACTCCATCCATTATGAACAGTAGTGTAGACAATACAGACATTTATCCAGGAAGAGATGAGCCCTGATATAGCCTGATATAGCTTCCTCCTCCCAATCCAACCCTCTGCCAGAGCATCAGCTATAGAATAAGCTGATCTTGGGAACCATCAGAATGAGATATTCACTCTCAATGCTAGAGATCTAGCTTCTCTGAAGTCCAATCAAAAGCTGTGTTTACCAAGGGTCCTCTTTAGTTTCATCACATCCATCTACTGATAATCTGTTAACCACCTTCCCATGATAACTAAGTGCTTGTTTGGGGGGGGGGGAGGGGCTGAAGCACAGAGGCTTCTTGCTTTTGAGATGGGTCCCTACATGGACAGCCTTTAAGCTATGTTTGGTGAAGAATCCGGAGAGCCCAAATTGGCTGTCAATTGGTCATTTTTTGGTCTCTCCACTTCGGGCTTGGATCTGCTACCCATGAACTGTTCCCACATCTTTCCCACTAGACATTACAGCTGTGCATTGGGAATATCTCCCTTGTCATTCATGGGGAGATGTTCCCAATACATGGTGGTGGTGCTCTGTGGGTAGGGATGTGGGAACAACTTGTGGGTAACAGGTCCTGAGTGCTCCGCTTCAGCCTCTACAGATAGCTTATCAAGAGTGCCTCAAAGCAGCTGAACCAGCTTAGCTGAATGTTCCAAGTCAGCCATCCCAAATGGGCTCGAAAAGCAAGCTGAGGCTCTGTAGTAGTGTCAGGATCTGAACTTTAGTGGGAGGTACCAAAGCTCACAGAGTTTGAAACACACATGGACCAAGCATCTCTACATCCTTAGGCAATTTTCCTAGCAAAACCCATGTTTCCTTTGTAATAAATTCACTTAAGAACCTACGGAACTGATATAAACCAAAAAAAAGCAACATGAAAGGTAGCAATGGCAAGAATAATATCATGATGTACATATTAGAATGCAGACACTAAATAAAGCAAGGAACCTGCTACTGAACAACCTCTTGGTCAGCAGGAAGGCCCATGGTGTCCTCAATCTGTGAACAAATGAACAAGAATTAGAAAATGCACAACTAGGTCAAATATGTAGATGAACCATTCTAAAATCCTAGCATGCAAAAAGGAAAAGGAGAAAATGAAGGCACTTTCAATAACTAGAGGATAGAAGGCAACATGTAATAACTCTATAGTCAATGGTCAATAACAAAAAAAATAAATAAATTTGAAGAAATAAATAACAATAGGCATGCAGTCCGAACATTTGAATAAAATCAAGTGTCATTTACCAAGACACCCCTATACTTTGCAACTGCCTTAATCCACACAATCAGAAACCATTTGTATATCTGTCTGGGCATGATTTTTATTCCAAAAATACCCCAAGCAACAACCAAAACAACATCATCTTCCTCTCTACAGATGTCACCGATACCCAAAGCCATTACTCAAGTGCATACTTCCCCACCCAAATATCCTAAGATCATAACTTTTTTTTTAAAGGAACCCCACTGCAATCCCCCAAAACCCAACCTTTGTGAGCTGCCCCATCTCTTCTGTTATTACCGCCATCCCAACTAATGCCCAAGCCAGAAACTGAGCCAAAGTCTATAGTGGTGGCTGAGCAGAAGAATGTGCTTGTGCAAGAACAGGAGACGCTTAGGACAATGCCAGTGACTAACAATGGTGGTTCACTAATGATGCTGGAGAGGATAAGTCTATCTCAGCCTATAACAGGAAGGAGGGAGGAGGCAACGGTGTGAAATATGTAGATAGCAATGACATGGAAGCTCATGAAAAGAAGGATAGGGATTTTTTGAGGGGGATATGAGGGTGATAACTCTAACAGGTGAGAACAAGGGCACTTACATGGAGCTTGTAAGGAATCCCTACTGTCTTGGATCTGAAGGCCATGGCAATCAATCACAATCAGGCAACAGCAGCATCAACAGTGATAGTGGCAAGGATGGGAAGTTGAAGAGAAGGGACAAGGCCATGCCAAAATCAGCACAAAGCCTGCCCGTATCTGCTTTCGGTAATAGTAACAGAGTGTCAAAAACTCTTCAGAAGATTCAACCAGTTTCTTGTTCTTGAGAATCAGAACAGAATTTGCAGGATTTTAATGGTGGAACTCCTTGTCTCCTACCTAAGTGTAGCCATGCCTCTCACCTTCCCCATATCGATTCTTGGCCTAGAATAAAAATTGCCCCTTCGGTTTTGCACCCATTGTCTCTAACACTGCCATCCCTCCTCTAACTATGTCAACCTAATTTGAACAATTTGGCTACTGTGGTTGAAATCTAAGTGAAGAATTTGACAATGACGGTAAATTGGGAAGAAATCAAACTGCAGAAGGTGTAATCTGTGAGACCATTAGTGTTGGAGGAGATGAAGTTTCACATGAAGGTAGGTTCTGGGTTGTATTGCAAAAGCTCATTAGTGCCATTAAGCTTTCACCAGCCATCTATGAGACCATAGTGATATGTCAGGGGATATTAAGCGAAGGTTTGAGTTGATTTGAGGTGCCTTGGACAGCACGTCACATTTGTCAATAATTTGATGATCAAGGATCTTTCTTTTCTTTTCTTTTCATAAATTTGATCGAATGGACGTTATGGATAGAGGGTAGGTTTAGTAAAGACACAAAACCATAGGGGCGTCTTAGTAAATGACCCTAAAATCAATTAGACTGACAAAAATCAGCCTTAAAGTAGCAAAACAATAGAATTTTACTTGAAGAAACTTATAATGCAAGAAAAATGATGCAAATGAACAGATCTTACATTATTGTTATCCTCAACCATGGGCAACAACTTCTTTGGGCGACCTAAATACTCAAAAAATAAATAGATAAATAAATAAGGAGTTGCAACTTAGATGAATGTAAGCATAAACAGACCAAAGCTTCTTGTACAATGTGATACATAGTTTGAGAGAACAAGTAAATCAGAATAAATCCAATCACAGAAAAGAGTAGAAAGAGCCTACTTGTCAAGATGCCACCCGCATAACATAAGTTTAAGTCTCAGAAGAATCAATAATATAGGGTAGTAAATTAGCATTATCTCAAGTGCAATTAGCATTAACCTGGCTTTCCAGAAAGACCGAATTCCAAACAAAGAGAGTATCAACTGAGAATACCTCGCTTGGGTTTATTAGTCTTCGACCACACACAGTCATCTGCAGAACCCAGTTCTGATCCTTTCTGCCATCAAAACTGTTCTTTAGAAATAAGGTCCTAGTGACTTTGAAATAATTCTCAACAGAAACTGCTAGCAAACATGTGAGCATTGAGATCTCACCAACTTTCTTTTATGAACAGAGGGGGACAGGCCTTTCCTATTCATAGCACTTTGGTGACTTCTGCTTGCTTTGTTCTTTTTGCTAATTTTCTGAATAATTAGGAAACTCTTAAATTAGACTATAATGGCAAACAAACAAATAAGTCAGATAGAGAGAAGGGAAGCAAAAGTCAAAAAATAGTAAAATTCAAAATTGATAGTATTATCTGGATAAAATATCCACAAAACAACGTTTGAATAGCTTAATTTCTCACATCTAGCTGCCCAAAGGATTCCTCAAATTCATCATGTCATTATTCTTCATGAAGTTTCATCCCAATAAACCTCCATATATGTAACAGAATATTAGGCTGACAAGGATATAGGTACACAACCCCATCCAGAGGTTACCTCTTTAGATTTATGGACTAGATTGACCACATCATTTCTCTTTTTAGTAGTGGGGATCATGCCAAGAAGATATTATAAGAAAATCCATAAGGAAAAACTACTTCAAAAAATATTTAACTCATGTATTTCAGAACACAAACTCACATCAAATTCTTCATCTTTTGTCTTTGCCACAAATGCATCCCAATCTTCTTTTTTCACATAGGAAGGTTTTTGTGGTTCAACACCTCTCTCAAGGTCTTTCTTGATCTGAATCAGCAGTTTATATTTATGTTGTCTATAACAAGAGGAAATCTTTTTCCTCGTATAGCTTCTATTTATATCAAAATTATACCTCTCCTGCAAATCAAAAAGTTTAGGTGTTCAATCAATCCAGGGGAAAGAAACTCATTAATGAAGACAAAAAAACGGAAAGAAATAATTTGCTGAAATTCTAAGGTACCTACTGTTAACATATTAAGTACTGATTTGTAGTCTTCAACTGGAACATCCCCAATTTGCTTAAACCTTACAGGCAAAAAGTGGCATACATATGAATTGATAGATCTTTTAAATGCTCCAGCATTTGGACCAGTTGGGTTACCAACTTCATCAAAATCAACAATCAAACGTTTAGCTAAATTACGAGAAGCTACTTGCCCTGCTCTCTTAGGCACCCTTTTAGAGCCTGCATTGCATTAATTTTCAGTAGTAAAAGATGTTATTAAAACAAATAACACATTATTTTGAAGATATAGTTATGAAAGTAGAAAAGTTATGATTAGAAATTCATTTACCTTGAGTTTCTTCTTGGGGGAAGTCAGAATTCTCCATTGCTTCTTTGAAAATGGTATCCACATTTGCATTTGGGTCCAATATACTCATGGCAATATTATCTAAGATATTGTTCTTATAATGGAAGTCACCATATTCACTACCGTCTTCAGGGGTCAAGCATGCATCTTCATTCATATTTATTTGAAGCATTTTTAGACCTAATGGAATTTGATCTTGTTCTGTAGTAGTTTCCTCCTCCAAGTTTCCATGATCATCGCTCATTCTCATTATATCCATGGCTCCAGGCATGGAACAGTCATTTGGGAACACTTGATTATTATCATCATCTCCACTTGATAGTCCAGAACTCAGAGAAATATTAGGCACCACATCAACACCTGACCGACTTGCACTATCTGCAAAGAGCAACCACCAGTTCATGGGAGGTAAAACTAATACAGCATAACCAACTTAGCTGTTTGAAGTGAACATGCTCGATAAGAAAATACAGTTACAATTCTCTTGATTAATATCAGAGAACAGAAATATATATTAACCAAAACAGGCAAAAACCAAAGGGCACAATGGCATGACAGCATGAGAACATGATTGCAAGCCTTCCAAACTCAACATTACCCAGCCATCAAATTACTAATATAGTAATCAGTTTAACAAATACATCCCCAAGTGCATCAGGGTGGAATGGTGGATTCATTACATTGCATTAGATTTCCATCCGGAGAGGCAGTGGGAAGTTTGATCTACACTAAATTGAACAAAGAAGATGAAAAGTTGATCAAAGCCATACATGCTGCTTATTTCTTTCAATTAACTACATGATAATTAGCAGTTAGATACTAAACCTTCATTTTCTTTCAATTAACTACCAAACATTAAATTGAACAAAGAAAATGAAAAGTTGATCAAAGTCATACATGCTGCTTATTTCTTTCAATTAACTACATGATAATTAGCAGTTAGATACTAAACCTTCATAGTTCCTATCCATCTTCTTAAGCACATAGGCCATATAGTACCATTACTAACTCCTGATACCTTAAATCATATGAAAGAAAAAAGGGAAAAAAAGAAAAGAAACAACAAACAACTTTATCCAACTAGAATTAACAACAGGAATGAATCACTATAGCAATCAATAAGGGGAAAGCAGCACACAACGGCTAATCTGGAGCCAGGAAAAAATAACAAGAAACCCAGAAATTCATCCCAAACCCATTCTAAGTCAGGCAACAAAGGCTCCAGAAAAATAAATCTTTCAAGATACATCATTTCATTATATCAATTTATCAATACAACACTGACGTATATAATAATTTCTCTATTGAACATTAAAACTAGCTATCATCACTTCATCAGAAAATCAAAGACTTTTTTTTTTTGCATTTTTTTGAGGGTCACCAGAACGTCGAAGATTGACAAAGAATTCCAAGATGGGTTATTCATAATCTCGAGATAATAGTAGCCCAGACTACAATTCATCCTTTTGAACGCCAAACCAATCATTGCCTGCACCTCAGCAGATAAAAAAAAATTGAAGAAAACGAAAAGAAATTTGTAGATGGATAATTGATAATCTCAAGCTAACTCTAACCCAATATCACAGTTTTCGCTACTGTACAATTGAACCATTCGTTGCCACTTCAAATCTTCAATAGAACATTGAAACGCAACAAAACCACCCATACCCGACTGCCGAAGCTGCTTTCTCCGAACGAACAAACCCAACAAATCATCATGTAGAGCTCTAATAACCTCAGTCCTAGACGCCGCCCTTGCAATCAGAGTGGCCTGATAGTTCAGCAGATTCTGCAATCGCTGCCGCTCCAGTTCATCCAGTCCCGACCCACGAATCCGATCCTCCAGGAGCCCGATCTCCTTGTTCAACTCTTCAATCTTCGCTTCCTCGCTCCGAACGTTGGAGCTGATCCTGTGGTGGTCCTCAAGAACTCTCCTGATCTCCGACTCAATCTGCTCCATTTTAGGACGGAAATGGAATACGAAAAGTTTGAGGCTTGTTTACATTTCTTCTGTTGCTGCAGTAGCTTATCTCTTGTTAACCGCGTTTTGAGAAGAGAAATGATTGCATTCAGGAACAGGAAGCTTTACCTTGGGACCAAAAGGGGAACTGCTCGAAAATCAAATTTGAGTTCGTGTTCACGTCCAGTGTCCATGGGTCCCGCCAAATTAATTTTACTGTTTAGTTGAAACCATTGTTACAGTTAGCAAAGGGAGAGTCTTGACTCTTTTGCGTGTAAGCCCTTCTAACTTCTAAGTAGGGCTGATCATTTCAGCAGCTGATGGATGGTGGTTCTGGTTCAGTTGCTACTTGGTAATTGTAAGTTCTTTGGCTGGTTGTATGCTTGAAGCGAAGAATTGGGATCAAATCCCGTTGTCACCAGGGTTTTGGGTGGTTGTAGCCTTGTAGCGGAGATTTGGGGAATTGTGATCAAATCCCGTTTTTAATTCGATTGGAAAAAAATAAATCTGGAATTGAAAGGGATGGGTTAAAGTCGACCCGAGTTAAAACATGGGGAATGGGGATCATCTTCGAGTGTACGGTTGAGCTCCATTGAAGGTAAGAAGAATCAGCTCGAATTCGGCTTGATTCAGGAGTTCATATGGGTGAGCTTGGCTAGGATCAAGTTTGATACCGAGTAGAATAGCTTCATGTAAAAAATAAAAAAGATATATATACATATAAAAATTATTTTTCATACCTACCCTATAGTCTTAATTTTATTAAAACACTCCCTACATTTTGCAACCTACTTACTAAATGGACCTTTCATTAAGAAGTTGTTTTTTTGCCATTTGAAAATAGTAATATGATCACCTAAACTGAGTTGAAGATGTTCAAGGGCATGTGCACATAATTGTTTATTCCAAAAGTACCCTTAATACTTCTTCATACAAGAAATAAAATTGACCAAATAGAGTGGTTGCTCGTATCTTATTAGGGGTAAAAATGAAAGGTCGATTTAGTATCATTTTTTTTAAATTTATTCATATACATTAGGGACAAAACTATCATTTGCCACTATCATCTAATGAAAGGTCAATTAAATAAATCGATTGTAAATTATAGGGGGTGTTTTAGCAAAACAGGAACTATAGGGTAGTTTTTAGTAAATCCATGAAACTATATGGGGTGTTCTAATAATTGATCCTAAAAATTATTTAAGTTTGATTAAGCTTGCAAGCTTCACAAGTCACAAGTTAAGCTTCATTAGGCTCAAGCTTGGCTCGATTAGCAAATGATTCTACATATTGGGTTCGTTTGGTTTGAAGCTTGGTTTAAACCAAGCTGAATCGAGTTTTTCACGAGCCAAACTCGAATAACTAGGTTCGTGCCCACCCCTACTCGAAACTAGGTTTTGACAATGGCAATGGGCCAGGTTCAGGACAAGGACCATACTCCCCGTCTTCAACCCCAATTTTTAAATAACTCCTCGTTTTTTATCCTGATCTTTGTTGAGGAGAAAAATGAACCCTCATCCATGATGGAATGGGTTTCCTATTGGACCTGGGTCCTCAAATTCTTTTTTTACTTTTAACTAAAAGTTTGCTTTGGAAAAAAAGATTTACTTAAGAAAGGAAAAATCATTAAACTACATTTTATAAAATTTAACTAATATCTATTTGAGTTGATATGAATATAAATTTATTTAAGAACCTATATACAAATATTATTTTAAAATATTTAATATATGTATATGTTTTCAAAATTTTAAAATATAAATAATGTTTTAAAAATATTTAAAATATTATAGTTGGGATCAGGTTGGGATAGGACTTCACTCACCATCCCCATTCCCACCAAAGCAATCTCCAACTCTCCATACCCGATCCAATCAGGTCAAGGAGGCCACATACCTAACACAGTCAACGAAAATTGCCATCCCTAAATTTTGCACCCAATAACAAATTAGCCTAAAATATATATTATAAATATATACATGTATATAATATTTTGTTATATTGAGTATAATATATATTATTTCATTTAGCTATAAAAAATAGAGTAATCAAAATATGAATTAGCGATTAGCAATTAGCAATTTAATAGTTAGATATGGTTCCTTTAAGGGATTAAAAAACCCTTAAAGTTGTCACTATTATTGCAAAGATGCCACATCCTAAGTCCTAACCCACAAAAGGGGAGGTCGTGAACCTCATGGTTTGCTAACATATATGGTTTTTGTTTCTCTAACATTATATCTTACACATGGAAAATTTTGGATCTTGAAATAAATTCTTAATCTTATGTGATGAATCAGTAGTCTCGGTCCTCCCCACCTATGTGATGAGTCACTTCAAGATCCCTCGAAGCCCTTTCAATCGAATCAATGATGCTTTTTGTTTTACTAGGGTTAGAAAGGGTTACATCGCAAGCTCAGATGGATCAATTGGGAGAAACTTTGTGGAGTGAAGTGGGGTGGCCTTGGATTCGGAGATTTGGCATGCTTAAACTAGGCCCTCCTTGCAAAGATGGTCTAGAGGTTAATTTAAAGTGAGGAAGACCCTTGGGTAGACTTCCTTAAGGCTATGTTTGGTTTGAAGGAAAATGTAGGGAAGGGAAGTTACAAACCTTGTATTTGTTTCCCTGTCTTTCCCTACCTTTTCTTTCAAACCAAACATAGCCTAAGAGCATTTATAGTGACATAATCTTGTGTCTTCTTAGTCGAGAGGCAATGCTTCATGGTGTTGGAAAAGCATATACTATGATTTGGACTTCTACGCACTTGGAGAGTGGGTAGTGGCTCAAAGATCCATATTTGGGAAGATCCTTGGCTTCCTACTATACCGAGGGAAAGATTATGCCTCCCAAACTTATAGATTGCAACATTGAGTGGGTCAATGAGTTGATTAATCAAGAAGTTGGAAGAATGGGGTCATCTAAATTTTCTTTTCTCATGCCCTGGTTCACTACCTATTCTCCAAAGCTGTTTGGTTCCTTTGCCCCCTTGGTCTCTGCTCTTTAGAGATCATTGCCACCTCTTTTGTGGATTGGTGTTTATCTTGGTTCAGCCAAGTTTAGGTATCGATTGATGATCCACAAAGGCATTCAGGTTTACTTTCTCTATTTGTTGACATGCTTGGAAGGCTTGTAATGATTTCCTTCACCAATGATCCCCCCAACTCCAATGGATATTGTGCACAAAAGTATGGCCCAACTTTTTGAGCTCTTCCCTTTCTCAATGAACCCAACAGATAATCAGTCTAACATGTCCCTCTCCAAGGTTTGGATTCCTCTCGACCCAGGTTCGGTTAAGTTAAATTGTGATGTTGGGTTTTACCCTTCACAGAACAAAACAACTCTTGCTTGGGTTTTCAAGAACTCTAGAGCTTCTTTGGTCAAGCCCTCTAGTGAAGTAGTTGCCTGTAGCTCCCCCTTTTGGCAAAAATTCTAACCTTGAGAAAAGGAACAGGGGAAGCAATCCTATTTGATTTCTCTAAGGCCATGTTCGTTTTCTGGAAACACATTTACATGGGTAAATGCACTTACCCATGTTCTTGTTTTGTTCAATTCACCCAGGTAAATGAGATTGTTTACTTTCATATGTTCTTTTGCAACATCCACTTTCCTGAGTAAGTTGGTATTTTTTCACATCTTGCCAATTTTACTCTTTGGGCCCAAATCAATGTTTCCAACACTATTGCAGTATGCATCATGAGTACAATGTTTTGTTATTAAAAACTAAAGTGTAGCCCTATACACCCTTGCAATACACCAATTTATTCCACATTTTCACAACAACTCCAAATCAGAACAGATGTCAAAGCATTTCGGCCCGTCATTACCCAGTTCTAATTTATTCCTTTGTTTTGTTCATTTGCAATGCAAATGAAGTAGAGCATCAAGCAAAGTAAAACCTGGAACAAAAGTTATTTTAAAATTGCACTCTCTTTTTAAGAAAACTAAAACCTGAAGCAAAAGTTGACCAAAAAATTGCACTCCTATACATTTGTATCAGTGCAATGCATTTGCACTGCAAACAAATGGAGCATAAATAACAAAATGATGATACCTGGTGCTGTCACTACATAAACCATCAAACTTCAATGACATTACAGACAAATGAGTAGAGTGCACCATTTTCTCCTTCAACCCCATAACAGATGCCAAAATTGTTTAGATGAGGAGAGAGAAAGAAGCTTGTTGGAACTGTAGTACAAACAATTGCAGAGGAAGCCTGTTTCTAATTATTATGTTGATGATGATGGTGATGATGATGAGGGTCTGAAGTAACCTCCATGTTGGAAAATTGTAAAGAAAGGCTTTGGGGAAGTAATGAACTCAAATCAAGACCTTCCTTTACAATAATCTATTGGGTGGAAGCTAATTGTCATGTTATTAATATTCCTTACTCAATAATGGCAAGTTTGGTGCAATGTTAAAATCCCATTCTAACAAACATGGGAAAGAGGGCTCTGAGACTGAGAGTGGCCAATTCGTTCAAGAAAATGCCCTAATGTTGGGTTCATATCCAGTCCACCCCTCCCAAGATCCTAGATAGCTAGGACCAACATTAGGTAATATTCCTTTTCACTGTAATATAATATGGGAACTTAAGGATGAGTCTTTAGAACTAACACAAGCCAATCTGTTTTTATATTTCTATTGCAACAAGAGAAAGGATCAGCAATACCAAATATATATATATATATATATATATATATATATATCCACATTTGGTGCAATTGTTGAAAATTTAGACTTTAGAAACCTGAAGTGGAGATAGATAGCTTGAATCAATCATATTACAAACTTGCATTACTACATCACTTCCATTTCATGCTTCACTATACCCAAAAGTCATCAAATGATTTGTCTTTTGAGATATTGTTCATGATAAGCAATAATTTTTCAAGGAAGTACACTACCTCTCTGTAATCAAACGGTATTTTGGGCTGTAAATACTAAACAAAACAATATAACAATCAAAGAAAAAATGGAACTCCATAGTATAAATGCAACTTTAACTAACAAGAGGAGAAAAGCCTGTATGTGGTTGCCTAAAAATGTATTAAAGAAGCTATAGAAATATCCATTCACCTCAGAG